AGGCTAAAAATGAGTGGGGAGGGGGGTGTCCTTTAGACCAGCAGTTGCCAACTGGTGGTCCCCGGGCCACTGGTGGTCCGTGAGGTCCAAAAGGTTGGCAACTGCTGCTTTAGAGTCACCATGGACATTCAATTGGCACAGGAAAAGGCTGTCATTTTCTCAAAGATCTTTGCATGGAATAACTTTAAAACCCTTTTCTGGAGTCTAATGGAAACATCTAACTGAAATCTTTCTCTTCCCAAATTCTCAAGTTGCTTTACTTTGCTTTATGTTCAAGTAAAATGAAGAATCATTGCTTAATGATCTCTATAGGCTTAAGAAATCAGGCGTCCCCTTAATTCTTCAGCTATGGGTCTGTTTAATTTTTGTTCTGTCTGATTCTGTAAGTTGGAGCTAGGGAAGCTGCAGATTCACTGCAACAGGTCTTTATCCAGAAAGATGAGGTGAAGTGGATTACAATCTACAGGCCTATGAGAAAGGAAAGAGAAGACACTGAGCACTCACCGACGTATATGCCCGACTACAGATAGTACAGGTGTACACCTTGGCATGCTTCACTGTATGCGTAGATAGGTGCACCTCTAGTGAGGCTGCGTCTGTGTACGCCCGATGACAGTTGTGGCACTTGAAGGGTTTATCTTTGTTGTGCTGCCGTCTGTGGGACTGAGAAAATTGGTAGAAATGATGAGTGTATTGGACTTTTCCCTCTTGCCTCCCAGGTTCTCTTCTGAAGGCAGTAGGAATTGCTTCAAATGAAACTTCAGGAGCCACAGGCTAAGGGAAGCAGCATACCTCAGGCAGCACAGACCAGCATCCTGAAAGTTAGAATGATGACTATGCCTGGTCCCACTAGTCCAGTGGTTCTCAAAGTGAGGTATGGGGATTGTTAGGGAATACCAAGACCTTTTTAGGGGGTCTATCTATACGGTCAAAACTATTTTCAAAATAACAATAATAATGTTGGCCTTTTCATTCTCTCATGACTGTATGAGATTAAATGATGCATAATATTGCAATAGATTGAATACAGCGGACATGAGAGTCTAGCCATCTTCTGGTAAGCCATACATTAAAGAAATGTGAAAAAAAAAAGTAAAACAGTATCATTCTTCTCACTAAATTTTTTGGGGGTGTGTGTTTGGAAATGTTATTTGTGTTTTGCAATGGATTTGCTATTTTTTAAATGAATTACTAAATATCTTCTCCAGTTTTTCAGTTTCACAATATCTACATAGATAGATATTACCCACATCAACAAAAGCTCTTTGGGTTCCCCAGTAATTACTACAAGTGTGAAGGGGCCCTGAAAACATTTGAGAACTGCTATATTAGTCAAATGGCACTTTCACCCCACGTCTTAAAGTCAAGGCCTCATGTGGAAGGAGGAAAGTTTACCTGCAGATTGGAGAGCTGTGTGAAGGCTTTCTCACAGCCTGGGTGGACACATTTGTATGGTCTATCCCCGGTGTGGATTCTGCACGGGATGAGAAAACAAGAAAGGGGAAGGATGTCAGCAAGGCCACTTGGGGACTGGCACTTAACAAGCCTCCTCAAGGCCACGCCTGCCCTCCCACAGGAGTGGGAGTAGTATGAGATGGATCTCCAGGTGCCTCAGCTGCTCTCTGACATGCTGTAGTGCCTGATTTCTGCTCACTGCCTGCATCACTCAGCTCAAGATGGGCTCCTCTCTGCTGGGGGAGGAGGGATGGGTGACACGGCAGCCTAGGGATAGGCAGCTCACAATCTGGTATACAAGAACGCTCCTACAGTAACTCTCTGATGAATGCTTAGAAACGTAAGGTCAACACAATGGTAGGGAAAAAGAAACACGTAACACTTTTTCCTTGGCCCCCACTATCCAACTAGAAACTATCTCTTCAAACTCAAGCACCACTCCCAGAGAAAGTTCTAGTGTCAAAGAAAAATGAGAGTTATAATAATTGTGGAAAGTATCAGTGATATGAATACTTGTACAAACTCCTTCAGGCTTTTCCCAGTACAGCCCCCTAATGGCAAGAAATGTCTAGTTTAGTATCAATTTGACCTCTTTCCCAATCTCTACAGGGTCCTCCACTGAAATGAGCCAAGGACTTGAAGGTGCATGAACATCTGCTCCTCATTAGGGACTTCAGAACCATCTTTGTGACCAGGTGGTTTTCCGGACCTCTGGTATAAACTCTTGAAAATATCACAGGATGTCTCCTTGTGAGGAAAGCCCGACTCCTCTTCACAAAGCACAATGTCTGACCATTCTAAGATCACCACATCCAGAAGCAGCCAGGTGTCTATTAAGAGTCTCGATTCCACTTCAACGTGAGATACATTAAAGAACACCAATTCTAGTTGGCAGGGTCACTTCCTCCTAGTCACTCCAGATTCATGGGACAAACAGTAGGCATCCTTATGAAGTATGAGCTTTTTCATTGTTTGCTGGCTCTTTGAGATTTAAGACATGTTTGGTTTTGTTCTCTACTCCGGGCATCCCTTGGAGCTTGCTTGTTGCTGTGTCACCAGGCTGGTACCCAGCTAAAGTCTGTATCTCCCATTCATAAGCAGTGCTCTAAGGACTAGAGGTAACATCTTCAAATGCCCCAGCTTTGGCATCAAGGAGAAAACCTTGCAAGGTGCGTGCATGGGTATTTTCAAGGAAGGAAATGAGGAAAATAAAGTTGTCTCCGCTCCAGATCAATCTCTTCCTCCCATGCATCCGGGAATAACAGTCACTGCATCTCCCCAATGTAGCTTTTGCCTCAGAAAGGCTCTCTCTGAGCATCCACTTGTTTCTCCATGTTGCTGCTTGTTCTTTTTCCCAGATGCCAGTCATGTTCTCCTCCAGCCAGGTCTCTCCTCCAGCCAGGTTTCTCCCCCGCCCCCCGCATGCGGGTTGTTGTGTGTGTCCGGGGCGGGGGTGGGGAGGGCATGCCAGCAGGGCGGGGGCAGTAGCCCGCCACTCTCCCTTACCGTGTGTGCTGCTGGAGGTGGGAGAGCTGGCGGAAGGCCTTCTGGCAGTAGGAACAGTTGTAGGGCTTGGCCCCCGAGTGGATACGGAGGTGCTGAGCCAGGTAGGAGGTGTTGGCGAAGCTCTTGGAGCAGTGCGGGCACTTGTGGGGCTTGATGGTCTCCGTGTGCATCTTAGAGTGGATCCTGCCGGAGAGGAGAGGAAGGAAGGGGGGAGGAGGAAGCAGTTCGACACCACGGGCTCAGCTCTCTGCTGGGTGAAATGATGTTGCTTGAGGGATGAGAACACCCCCTCCTCCCTCCTCCCAAACACACTCCGGCCTGTAGAGGCTAATGACGAGGGCACCAAGATCTAGGTTGTTGCTGATCTTACGTCGGTAGCTAGAATGGCAGTGAGATGATGAAGAGCTGCAACCCCTGGCTCCTGTTAACCTTAAAGATTTCAGTTTCGTCAACCCTCCGTTTGGTTCTAAGGTTACACACTCACCACAGATACCCTGCTTCCAAACTGTAATTTGAACAAAGACCAATACCGCCTGTTCCCCATGGACCTGAAGTTGAATGCACACCTTGGCTCTGAACTGAAGCATATAGTAAATGCAGGGCCTGCTCTGCAGAAGATTTCCAAACACAGACACAGAGAGAAACCACAAAAATTGATCCAGACTTTGGGATTGAAGACCACAATTTTCCAGGCCCCCCACGCCAACTCCTAAGACACAGTTTAATTTTCACAAACAGTAATGGGAGAGAATTGAGGCTCCCAAAGGGCAAAGTTGAAAAGGAAAAAAGGAAACCTATGGAGAGAACAATAGGCGCAGGCAACATCGTCTCAGGGTGGGGGGGTTCAAGGCCAGGTAGTGGGGTAAAATCAAGAGCAGCCTTACCGGGTGTGCTGCTGGAGGTGAGAGAGCTGTCGGAAGGATTTCTCACAGAAGTTACAACTGTAGGGCTTAGCCCCTGAGTGGATACGGATGTGCTGGGCCAGGTAGGAGCTGTTGGCGAAGGTCTTGGAACAATGTGGGCACTTGTGGGGCTTGGTCTCGGTGTGTGACTTGGAGTGGATCTGCATCTCCGACTTTGAGTAGAATGTCAGTGAGCACATCCGGCACCTGGGCCAAGTGAGGGCAGCCATTAGAACCTTTCCCACCAAGAGGGCATTGCTGAACCCTCCCCTCTACTTCCAAAGAAGCCAACCTTTCTGATCTCTCTCTTATTCCAACTACCTTGTAAGGTCCATGCGAGGAGGAGCTCTGTTTTATTTATTTTTATAGTTGAAGCTTCTAACACAGCCCAGTACAATATACTCAATACATATTTGCTGAATAACTGGATTCCCAAGTGTGTACAAAAACAGGAATTCAACCAAGGAAGACAGGAAAATCTTATTATGGGCTTTGGCTGATGTGAATTTCACTGGGCTAGGATCATCAGCTAACTTCTGTTTTCCTTCTGCCTATAATTTTAATTTCAAAATTTTAAAAGAACTCTTTCCTTTAATTTCCCATGTAAAAAGTACATCCATCAGGTATTCCTCAAGCTTCTGAAATGATGAGGACAAACTGACTAGATTACCCAGGTCTCCTTTCCCATCTTCTTCAGATAATTGCCTTCTCTCAGATTTTCTCCTATTTCCTTTTTGCCAGGATTTTTAAAGGGGTGGGGCTGGGGGAAGTATCAGAATTTCAGTACTTGGAGGGGCTTTTCCAACCCATGTTTATCTGGCCTCCATCCTGTATCTGCTGTTCTACCAGCCAATCTCCCCCACTCCCTAGACAATCAAGTGAAAACCACTTTTGCAATGAGCCAAGGTATCTGTTAGGAGTGGGTTGTGTCCCTCAAATGTATAGGAGAAAAAGATTTGCAAAACACCAAGCTTCCACACTAAATCTCTCCTCTTTCCTCACACATGGAGCCAACATTAGCACTTTGGGTTGACATTAATAGAATCTGAATACACTTTTATTCATCCCCTGAGCTGGTAATCTTCCTGCTCTGACACTGTCCAACAATACCAAGTAAGAAGGCCTCTGAGGACAAACCACAACTATTTAGACTTTATTGGGTAAAAGCTATTTATATGTGAGCTAGAACCCTAACATTCCTAAACAAGTCACCAGTGTACAACATGGACTGGTAGAAAGGGCAATAGCCTAGAAGCCAGGTAACTGGGACAAATCCCTCTTCTTTGGGTCCTCCCAATTTATCACGGTAAGAGGGACTTAAGATGGTGTGAGGTATGATTTCTACTTTTTCCTGATTCTAGGAGAATCTCTGGAGAATAAGTGAGATCAAGGCTATAAAAAACTCTGAGCTCCTCAGAGAAAAAGATATCACTGTTAGCAGGGATATGGTCTCTATTAATGCTTCTATTAAAATTCTAATCATTAAGGCCAATTTCGTTTTCTCTAGTTACTTGATAACTCTGAAGGAAACCAAATTACCAGTTTACCAATCCCTGACTATTGTCTGGGATGCCCAACCATTGTAGAGATGGGGAGGCTCTACTTATAGGTAGCACAGTCTAATGGACACAGCCAATGGAAGACAGCCAACAGGAAATCTGGACACCTAGGCTCTCTACTCAGGGTTCAGTTATAGGATTGCTCATCAATCCAGACCTTACTTTTCTGGTCTGTAAACAGAGAGATAAATTAAATATCTGCCCCTACAAGGGCCAGCAAACAGGACAGTCAAAAGTAAGCCAGTGTTCTCTAAAAATAAAACTGCATTGCGCTGTCTGGTATGGATCAGTTAGTTGGGTGTCATCCAGTGCACCAAAAGGTTGCCAGTTGGATTCCCAGTCAGGGCACAAGCCCAGGTTCGGGCTCCATCCCCAGTAGGGGGCGTGCAGAAGGTAGCTGATCGATGTTTTATTCTTATATCATCCATGTTTCTCTCCTCCTCCCTTCCTTGTTAAAAATCAATACAAATATCTTTTAAAATAATAAAACTGCATTAATGTTAACAGCACCAGTGTGATGGCTGCATTCATGCTGCTGTAGTTTCACTAAGACTGAGGTTAGAAACTGGTCACATTGCCACTTGGGAGGGGAACTGTACTGAAGTTATAAAATAATTTCCCTTGGTTGCTAAAACTTCTTATAAATGGAACAACACATTCATTTTAACTCATTTAGCTAGTATATATGAATGCTGTTTACTTCCTTAATATGAAACTAATTATAAAAGAAGAAATAACCTCCATCAAAGTTTTCAACGAGACAAAAATCCACAAAACTTAAATTAATCGATAATGGACTGGCAACATAACCAGCAGTCTCAAAAGGTACTAGGTATAATAATGGTGATAATAATAATAGTTTGCCATTTGCTGTTGTGCCTGATATTGCCAGGGAACTTTGTTTCCGCCCCTCACAATAAGTTAGCAAGTATTATCTCTGTTTTATAGAAAAGAACACAAAGGTTCAGAAAGGTTAAGTAATGTGCCAAAGGACAGTTATTTACTATAAAGCTACCATTTCGGCCTAATTTAAAGATTCCTCACACTAGAGGTATTTAAGGAAAGGTTGGACAGTCATCTTCCAGGAATGTTTAGAGAACTAAACCTTAGGGGAGAGACAGTTTAGGTGACCATTAAAGTATTTCCAACTCTGAAATCTTATGAAACCAAGTAAGAGTACAAGTGCTTTAATGCAAAGTGTCAGGTAGTCGAAAAGAAATCTGACTTAGGGGAGTTGTGGCAGTGGGCACCATTCATATTCAACAGGAGAAAGGTGCCCCTTTGGAGGCATGAAATGCAATGGCCTTGCTTACAATAACTATTCTGAATTATCATTCCATTTTTTCCCCTAATATGCTCAAAAACAGTTTCATATACTCTGATTTTCCCTTAAAACAGTTCCACAAGAGAGATGAGGGCCATGATTGACCTTCCATTTTACGGATAGGAACTCTTTAGTCAGAAATAAGTTTACTTCTCCAGAGCAACAGAACCCAATTCCCCCAATACAGTCAAATGCCACTTGCCACGGGAATGGATGAGATTGACCCATATATGCATTGAAAGAGGGATTCTTTGTGATTAAAAAGATTCCACCATTGGAACTTCAGAGTTCTGAGTTTCTGAAGAAATCCTGTCCACCTAGAATATAATTAGTTGCCCTAAAATTTCAGAGTTCTCTTTCATCACCTAGGCATAGGGCCAGCAAGAATTCCAAAAACATGGAAGGTGCAGAAAATCCCACCAGGGCTTCCTTCCAATTGTGTATTCACATTGCTTTCCATATAAACAATTTGGGAAGTCCAGAGATAGCTTTAATGTGGGTCCAAAAAACTAGCAAACAAGAAAACCTTAGCAGAATCAGAGGACCCTGATCCATGTGAAGGGTTCCATAGGATGCCAGAGAACACGCCCTCCCCCCACTACTTCTAACACAGCGAATTTTGTATAGGTGAACCTCCATGTCACAATGACCTCACTTTAAGCAAATACATAAAAATCCAGATTTCTACAAAATATATTTAAGAGGGATTTTCATTTTATGAAATGATATATAAAATAATGCCTTTAAATTAATCAAACTTATCAGGTACCTTTATAATATGATATGATGTAAACATTTTCCAGGAACACTTTTATTGTATAAAGTGGGATATACCTGTAATAATAAAGCTGCAATGAACTTTCAGATTATAAACTGACTTCTGTAGTGCTCTACACTTTCTGCATAGCAACACTCCCCTCATTTTCACTTACAAAGAGGGATTTAAATTCTCTGTAGTCGTAGCTGCTCTCTACAAAAGTGTACAACACAATAATAAATGCTAACTACTTTTATCTCTTTTGAAGTTCCCAACATTTCAAATCTTATCTGATATATACTCCCAACAAATGGGAGGCAAAAACAGAATTCTCCCCATTTTATAGATGAGGAAACTGAGGCCCAGAGAGGGGAAAAGGACTTGCCCAGGGTCACACAGCAAGTTCGTGGTGGAGCCGGGAACTGAATCCATTAGCCCAAGGCTCTGTCCATTTCCTGTGCCGCAGTTCCCTTCGCTCCTAAAATGGGAACAACATTGCCCATCTCGGTACACTAAGGACAGACCCAGCTCCCAGCCATGCATCTCTGCCCCTGTCTGCGTCCAAGCTGTGGCAGTGGTTATCCTACTCTATACACTGGGACCAAACTCCCCAAACCCACTAGGGCCCTTGATAGGTCTGAAGGGAATTAAAAGATTTCCAATGTTCAAAGGGCAGGGAAGTTTACTTATGTAATTATTTTTGTACGGCATCACATGCAAATATAATGCTTTTTGGCCATGGACAACTTAAAGGCAGTAAATAATCAAAATGACTTCCATGAATCAGAGAGTAAGCAGTCATTTTATAAGCGTAAGTAGGGGAAGGGAGGCATCTTATTCCTCCCACCGTTTTATATAGACCCTCCCATTATACCAACCATGCAGGGTCAGGCTGGCTCAATGCCCAAATATGACTCAAGAACCAGTGGATGGCATACTGGTGAGGGGCTTACCAGAAAGGTTTCTTGGAAAAATGGGAATGGAAAATGGAGAAAGCAAAAAGGAGCTGGAGATAGAATCTCAAACCCAGTCTAAAGCCTCAATACAAGAAAAACCTCCATTATGGCACTCAAAATTAACTCAATGCTGATGACCCCAAAGGGTCTCCATCCTGGGGGAAAAGGCACAAGAGAAGTGCTAGAAGCTCTACCTTCCTGCCCCGTGGCAAAATGCCTGACATGCATGTGGATCTGAGGTGAAAAGCTGGCAGAGCATACAGCCTGATTAGGGGCAAGACACAGATAGGGTAGGGAAGCTGAGACAGGGATCCTCACACCCCATCCTGCCCCAGGATCACTCATACCTATAGGTCTTGCCGTCTTTCTGATGGTCATCATCATCCTCAGGGGAGAGGACATAAGGGTCGTTCATCTCGGGCAACCCTGATTCCAACATCCGCTTCTTCTTTCGGCCCCGGTGGGGCTTTGGAGCCACACTGCCACCTCCACCACCACCTCCGCCTCCTTCCTCTGTTAGGGTTGATGATACCTTCTTGGAGAGGTCAGGGACCACCTGCAGGGCTTGTGAGCCAGGGGGAAGAGCTGAGACAATCATGGGAGCCGAAATGGGGAAGGTCTGAGCTGATGAGGCTGTGGTCACAAGGGAGCCTGAGGGGGACGTGATTACCAAACCAGGACCTAGGATTGGGAGAAAAAGGAGATGGTGTCATGTTGTCCAGTTCTGGTCCTAATCCTATTTCATTTCCCCAGATCATTGTCTAACTAAACCCTTACCACCTCCCCAGCCCAGAGTACATAGGAAACCCCAAACCCTGTAGAAAAATAATGGTCTCCTAACCCCTGTCCCCACCCCAACCCCAGTAACAGTGAGATTTACCCCTTGATTGACTCCCTTCTCTTCTCCACCTCTGAGAACAGGAGACTCCTTGATTCAGAGAAGGAAAGAATGTCACCTCCTCAAAGGCAGGGACCGCATCTTCTACTTCTTTGTATCCCCCACAATGCCTAGAGCATTGCTAGGCACACAGTAGGCTCTTAATAAAAATTTGATTGAGTAATCAAACACATTTCCCACTCCCCATGTTGTTGGAGCCCTCCAGCCTGGGGTACTGATCATGGAAGATCAACACCTCAGATTGGAGAAGAGCAGAGTTGCTCACCAGCAGTCATTAATCCTGTAGACGGCACAGGGACCACCGTGATATTCTGGGTAACGGATGCCTGGCTATGTGGGGTCAGCTGGTCTGACTTGGACTCTGTGTCCATACTGATGCCTGAGGGCAAGGACACTGAGGCAGGCACTGTCAACAAGGTGGGGTAGTGGGGTGGAGCCAGCCCACAGCCCTTCTCTGGCAACAGCTGATCCTTCATCTTGTTGATGAACATCGTGTTCTCAATCTGAAAGAAATGGAAGGGGAAGGACACAAACTGATGGTCACTAGATGGGAAGGGGTAGGGAAATGAGCAAAAAAAGGTGAAGAGCACTAGGAAGTACAAACTGCCAGTAATAAAAATAGCTACAGGAATATAAAGTACAGCATAGGGAATATAGTCAATAATAGGATAAAATAATTTATGAATGGTGCCAGATGAGTACTAGACTTATGGGGAGTAGGGGGTCACTTTGTAAATTATATACATGTCTAATCACTATGATGTACACCTAAAACTAATATATGTCAACTATTATAAGTAAATAAATAAATAAATAAATAAATAAATAAATAAATAGCTAGCAGGGGAGGGGAGGGAAGTGGCCTCTTAAGGGAGAGTCTGATTATGTCTGCTCCCCAAGCACTTAGCATTGTCTGACCTCCTTGGATATCAAGGAATGATAGTTAATATCTTTGTGTTTCCAGAGAGAAGCCAAACAGAAACACTATACAATTCTCAGTGATGGGGACCTGATGAAAAAGCAGGTGGTTTGTCTTGCTTCAGTCTCCACCTGCTTCAGTCTCTGAGGAGCAAGTAGAACTTACTACTCAGAGTTGAAAAAAGGACACCATGGGGAAGGAGCAAAAAAGCAAACTCCACCTACCTGTCCTGAGACTGTGGGGATAGAAGGCCAGAAGTATGGGTTAGAATTGAAGTGAGATTCTTCCATTCTACCTGAAGAAAGAGAGACCACATCACACTCAGGAATAAATCTGAAGCTTAGCAATGGAGAAGTGGAGATGAGGAGTTCTTGATTTCTCCTCTGACAACATGGCTGGGAATTAGTGGTCAAGACCTTAGGATCTAGCATATTATATTAGCCCCATTAGTCAGAACCACTCAGCACTATACTCCTATCCAACAGAGGCTATCCTAGATAAGATGCTGGTGAAAGAACTTATACACATTCAGTTACACACAGAATGTTTCCCATATCCCAAGAAGTAGAATTGGTATTAGTTTCCTTTGCTGAC